AGACAGATAGATAGACAGATAGATAGATAGATAGATATGATTTATACAGGAAGACAAATAGATGGATAGATAGATGGATGGATGGGCAGATAGACAGAAACATTTATACGGACAGATGGATGGATGACAGACAGACAGACAGACAGATGGATGACAGACAGACAGACAGACGGATGGATGACAGACAGACAGACAGACGGACGGATGACAGACAGACAGACAGATATGATTTATACAGGCAAACAAATAGACGGACAGATGGATGATGATGCAGGCAGGCAGGCAGGCAGGCAGACAGATAGATAGATAGATAGATATGATTTATACGGACAGATGGATGGATGATGGACAGACGAGCAGACAGACAGACAGACAGATAGATAGATAGATAGATATGATTTATACAGGCAGACAAATAGATGGATGGATGGGCAGATAAACAGAAACATTTATACGGACAGACGGATGACAGACAGACAGACAGATATGATTTATACAGGCAAACAAATAGACGGACAGATGGATGATGATGCAGGCAGGCAGGCAGGCAGGCAGACAGATAGATAGATAGATAGATATGATTTATACGGACAGATGGATGGGCGGTGCACCTGCCCTGTGAGATCAGATCAGACTAAAGAGTGACAGCGAGAGACAAATTCAAAGACGATCCACAGCAGAGGAAAGGTAAAGGGAGGTTAGAGTTCACAGAAGGGTGGAACAAGCCATTAAAGTGACATTGTGAGGCGAGACTCGTCTCCTCAGAGCTTTGTGAGAGTGCTGGGTTGTCAAAGTTAAAGAGCTTCTAATAGGATGGGGATGCTGTCATATTTACCCTGCATCCCCCCTCTACACGCCCACTGCATTGTGGAGGTGGCCCGGCTTTGAGCCCCCACAATGGCTGAAGAGGATGGACAGATGGGGGTCCCTATGGAAGGAGGCACAAAAAGAAAGCAAGGTAGGAGGGCCCGACTGTGTGAGAGAGAGCCTGCAGTTAGCTCACACTGATTGCCATGCAAAGTAATGGAGAGTAAAAGAGAAACGGATGGGAAAAGTAAGAAAGAGATGGAAAAGAGGAGGGGAAAGGTCACAAAGAGATTGGAGAGATGTGTAATCATCTATATATATAATCTATACAGTAAAGGCCTGATGTACTGGTGCCCTTCATAAGTCTAAAGTGGGGAAAACTCAGAGGATGTTTCAGACAGGATCATTTATGGAAAAGTCTTAAAGTGCTATATGTTCACTTTATAACTTTACTAAGTTGACAATACACGTAACAAGTCAACAAATATTGTACTGCACATCAAAAATAATATTAATTTGTTCTGAGAAACTGTTCAACAAAAACTTGCCAGCATAAATGAAATGGTGAAAATGAAATGAACAATGTTGAATTTTCCAAATTACAGAAAATATTACAGAAATTACAGAAAATGTATGTATTTATGTATGTATATATATGTTTGTGTGCGTATGTATATATATATATATATATAGTATATATATATGTGTGTGTGTGTGTGTGTGTGTGTGTGTTAATTGCTTTTGTGATATGTTATTATTAATGTGTCTAAGAATGTGGGTAACCAAATAATTTCTGGTCCCCATTGACTTTCAGTTTTTTCCATACTTTTTCTATACTTACTAAACTATTTTCTCCATAATAACTTTTTGGTTACCCATATTCCTCAGAAAATCTTTTTATGTTCAACAGAAGAAAGAAAATACTACAAGTTTGGAACAACTTGAGGGTGAGTAAATTTTGATGACAATTTTCATTTTTGGGTGAACTATCACTTCAATACAAAATTATATTGATTAATAAGTTAATATTATATTTATTTAATATGTAATATAATTAGTTTCTAGATTTTATAATTAATGTATTAATTTTAATGAAAAATTCTAAAACAGAATTATTACCATCACATGAACATTTATTCTAAATATGATAACAGACTTTGGACGCACATGACGTTAGTAACAAGCAATGTTACTTATATTATCATACTAACACTAAAAAATATATTTTTTCGGTAATTATCATTTGAATTTACCGTTGTTTTTCCACTGCTGTCCACAGCCACACAGACTAATAAACCATTCTGCCATATTACATATTGGTTCTTAAAAATAAAAAAAGTTAAACAGTCTGTCTGTTCCAAACATTGGTAGAATAGGTCTTTGTTTGGTCTGTTTGGCCCCTGCATGATTAAAGGCTGAATGGGGTGGGAGTTGAATTATGTGTGAAAGGAGGGGATGCTGAGCGGAGGTGAGGCAGGGGTGTGTGGCAGAGCCTCTTCTGGTGTAAGATGAGGAGAGCCGAGGGGGGGACCCACACACAGCAACAGATGGGCTCTCCCCAATGGCGCTCTCAGGTTGTAAACTTTCTGTTGGGAACATCTGTCAGTTTGTCCATATGCCACATGAAGCCGCTCCTGTTCCAGCTGAAAGTATTCAATGGCTGTGAGCTTGTCAAATGTCTTTTCCATATGAAGAAAGGCACAGTTGGGGGAGCGCTTGGCATGTTCAGACCTTAATGTAAAGACAGTCAATAAAAACTTTTCATCTTTTCCCACCCAAAGTCAGTTGTTACAATCTCAGGTTTACATCAGCATAAAGAAATAAATAATGTGCTCAGAAAAACAATGGCCATAGATTATAAAGGTGTGCTGCTGCAGCTCACCAGGGGTTGTCTTCCGGCTCCCAGCCCTCCAGCTCTCTGAGACAGTAGAAACAGCAGGCTACGTCTGGCTCATTCTCACTAGGGCAGTGCACAAAACCTGCCTTGGCCATCTGTATAAAGGATTCAGAGGATTTTCATTACTTCTTTTAATTAAAGCAGCAGTGGATTGTAAAAGTGCCTATACTCAAAACAGTGCTGTCAATTTGACTTCCATTTATTATGCCAATTTCGCTCGCTCTCTCTTCAGTTTTTTTCGACACACTCACCAACTCTGGTGTGCACTGGCAATCTTCTCGAAAAGGCCACTCGGAAAAAGTCTGTAGTCGCTTTTCATAACTATACATCTGATTAAACGTCAAAAGTCGGGAAGCAATGACTTCTGCGTTAGACATTTCTGAAGCACCACCAGACTTCAACTCAACTCCACACAATAATCCTGGCTGAAAGTGGATGTTTAATTGGTTGGGTGCTTATTGATTGATGAATCGCTGACAGCTGATCAGTGGATAAACGAAAAAGAAAAACATCGCTGTAAACCGAGATATTAAAATCTGTGATCTTACGTATGTAGACGTATCGACGTGTATTGCACTGTATTATTTAAATAGACATTTCGCACAAAAATCATGTTCACTGAAACTAGTAAAGTTTACGTTACACATTTGAAAAAAATAGTGTGATGTCTCCCTCTGCTGGACGAACGTAAACACACACTAATTAAAATTCACTGACTGAAAAGTTTTCGTTTTAAAACCTTCATGACACTTAGGAATGTCTAACATGAGGTAATGGAAAATAATCTTTAGACGTTTTTGAAAAACTACTAACAAAATATTTGATAAAAGTTTTGATGAATTGACTAAAAAATGTCAATTAATGTGAATATCAAGAGAGTGGGTGTTGAAAAGTGTACAATATGCATATTATAGACTATAGAAATATTATATCATGCCGTTTTTCAGGACCAAAAACTAAAAACATGTTCATCATGGAAGTTTATTCACATCATATTTGCTTGTCCTACACACACACATAAACACACACATACACACACACACACACACACACGCATGTTGGGTTTCCATGTTTCATGGGGACAAGATGGTTTTTAATAGTTTTTATACTACAAACCGTCTTAGATTTTCTAATCCTAGTCCAAACCTACACCTCACGCAAAACTTTCTGCTATTTTACATTTTCAGAAATATAATTCTGTATGATTTATAGGCTTGTTTCCTCATAGGGACCAAAAAAAAAAAAAAAAAAGTCCCCACAAGGTTTACTGGGATAAATAATATTATATATATATATATATATATATATATATATTAAGTAATGAATGTGTGTATTCATTATTTAAATATTTGTTTATTAATTTTTATATTTAATTTATATTTTTTACTTATATGACGCTATTTAGGAACACAAATCGGGGGAAAAAAAGTTTTTAAGTCTTTTTGGATAAATTCTTTTGTGAGTTCCATGCCATTGACTCCAACTCAATCACAAAATTGTATTTTATAAAATGCTATAAAACCACACAGTAAATGCATTGGAATGGAGACCTCATATTAAGCATAATCCTTAACAAGCCTTGTAAAGATTCCTGTGTTATGTAGTTAACCGCTACAGGCTGCACACATAGTTCTGCGGTACAAATAGTAGATTCCCACAGCCATTTTCTAGACACAAACTTCAGTCTAGAGGTCTCAGTAAGTTGTATCCCTTCTTACTTGGACCCGACCAATTACTGTAAGCCAATACATACACCATAAAGTGAGATCATAGTGAGTGGCAGACAACATTATTGGTTTGCGGTATGAGTGTTTGGAAGCTGTTTATGACTGGTGGGCATAGGGAGAGGCCCTGTTGCTGTCACCATGTTCTGTAACTGTATCTTACTGCGCCTGGCTGCTGAAATGTGCTTACTGCTTCGAAAAAGTGGCCCCTCCACCCCTCTCTGCCCTTCATCTGATAGGAACTTCCCTGTGACTGTTGGTTTGTGCTTCACAAACAAATTCTGCTGTTAATATGTTAATCTGTTTGAAAAGCGAATGTGAGATCACTCAACTGGGATGGTCACATTAAGTCTAAAGGAGGTTTTTCTGTGAAATTATTTGTGAGATTCTGAGATTTTGAGAAGATTCGTGGCTGCTTGTTCTCTCTTTTGCGGTGATAGTTTGTCACCTAATATTCAGGCTAGAGTTTCACATCAGACATGACATTTGCCGTATTCGTTTCAGGCAAGACCCCACACCGGAGCTGCCACTCATTTGCAGTCGGCTGCTCAGGACTCATCGCAGAAGTTAAGTGGGAATACCTCACCATCAGCTGTTGTATGGCCTCTATCTTTTGTGAGGCTCGGCCAAAGCCACAAAGTAAATACTTCACCCAAGCCACACTCTAGATGGAACTGACTGGAATTACTTTGCATGGCTGAAATGTTTATTTTATTAATTGGCTTTTTCCTTTACTACACAGGACACTGAAGAACTGAAAGGAAAGTGGAGGGAGAGGAATTGGTACATGACCCATATCAGCTCCCTTTATGTCATGTGCCACAGCTTCGACATGGCTGGAATTTTCCTGATATACTTCTCCAATTGCAAGACAAGATTGTGTTTGTTTGTTTGTTTGTTTATTGGAAGATAAATAAATAAAAATCAATTAAACAATATTTGATAATGAGAATTTTTATAATTATTATATTTATCACAGTATAAATAGTAATAAGAATTATTATTGTTGTTTTATTGAAAGATACATAAATAAGTAATATTTAAAAGTAATTATAATAACACTTATTCGCCATATCATTAGTAAAAAGAATGACTGTTGTTGTTTTGTTGTTTTTATTGAAAGATAAATAAACAAATATTAAATAAATATTAAGCAATATTTACAATAATCATAATAATAATAATAATTATTATTTATTAATTATTTATTTTTTTAACTCAATTATTGGCATGACAAAATTAAATGCTTTTATACAATCTTCTCTCAAGAGATAGATGTGGCAAAATTTGGTCACAATTGAATTATTGTGAAGCTCTTGAGATGCATGTGTGCATATTTAAAAGTTCATATGTACTACAACCTCGAATGTATGGAATTGATTGGAAATAATTTGCATGGCTGGAATATTTATATTATTCACTGGCTTTTTCTTTTACTGCAGAATTTTCTCCAGTTGCAAGATTCCCAAACTTGAGTGGCACCATTGGCATAGAAAGCAAAACATAGTGGCTCCATTTATCACTGTTGGAGCTCTAATGTAAAAATCATTTGTTATGCAACGACAAAGTTATTTATATTATAAAATAAGACCTGGATGTTCCAGTTGGATTTCATCACACCATTCCTGTGAAGGATTAAAGCCGGTTACATCTCCCCAGATATCAGGTATGTGTCTCACATTGCCCTCTTCATCCCAATCCATGCTTCATTGACACTTGACTCTTCGCTCTCTCACTCTCTCTCACCCACTCCCTCCTTCTCCTCTTCGTTCTCATCCTGTCCCCTCACACGGTTGTTCTTACTTATTAAGGTCCTGGTGTGATTATCTGCTGGAATCTCTTGCACTTGTCCTGTATTCTCAGTGTGGTGAGATTGAGAGTGGGATGGGCTAAAAGAGGGAAATGTGTGTCTCTGTGTGACTGTGTGATACTTTGTGCAGGAGACACTCCCGTAAGTTCATCAGAACTATTTTGGCTCCAAATATTCCCGGAGCCTCAAAAAACTGGGTCCGGACGCTCCATTGTTCATGCCAGCAAAGGTTTCTACTGGGAGTTTGTGGTGTCAGGGTGCCAGTGGAAAGATCCTCGGAGGCAGGGAAACAGTCAGAGGAAGAGTGTTTAATGTGGGGTACAGGTAAGAACATCCACTAATATCTATTTCTGTTTGCAGTCTCAAATGAACACATCCGAGCGCAAACTTTTTCCCTGGAGATCCTTTTTGCTGCATGGTACAGCTATCATGTGTACTCATATGTTTATAACACACTAAGAACACTGAAGCTTATTTATATTTTCAGGGTTAAAATTATTTATGTACTATGGCATTTACGATATACATAACATGCAAGACATAGATTAATAGTTTAGGAGATGTGATACATCTCATGGAGTGACCAGCATCTAGTCTTCCTAATTTAGTCGTGTCAGTGTTGTCATTAAAAAGATTGTATTTCATGAAGAAGTGCACACTTCTCCTGGACATTTGAACTGGCATTCACTGTAGATATATGCTTCCTCTTTTCTCTTCATCGGCAATAAGAAAGCCAACGTTCAACAGTTTTGTCACAGTGTTCATTATTCTCACCAATAAAGCTAAAAGGAGTTTGATCTAAGATGTACAAGCCACTAAAAAGCCAAGCAATAGATGTATTGTGCGTGTATGTGTGTGTGTGTGTGTGTGTGTGTGAGTGCACGTGTCTGTAGGCTTTGTGTTAATGAGTGTGTTTGATTGAGTGTGCTAGCAATTTCAGAAGAAATATTACCCACAGCCATTAATGAACTATATTCTGTCAAAATACACCTGGAATGACCTTTGAAATATACCTTTGCTATTTGATTTGACTTTTTACCAATGTGAAGGACATAGAAAGGAACAAACTTTTTCGATTTTTTTCATTTAATATCTGTATTTGGATGTAAAATAAACTGGAGCTTTGAAGGTCAGCCTATTTCTTCAGTACTGAGGCAATGTCCTTTCTTTGTGAAATTGAACTTTGCAGGAAAGGTTTTAAACAAATTTAAAACCTGCAATGCATACATATTAAAGTAATTTATTATTATTTGGCATATGTTTCCAGTTGTTAGACTGACTTGACAAAATGAGTCACTTTCATAAGACCATCGAAAAATCTTCTACTCAACATATTTGACATGTCATGAATCAGATTACTGTGCATCTCTTGAGATGAATGTGTGCACATATAAATACGTGTAAGCGTCTATATGTACAAGTCTGGATATTTGCTGACATAGACGGGTGTAGACATGGTATTAGCAGGCTCTCTGTCTTCTGCCAAAGGTGTGAAATTAGCATCTCTGTGTGAGAGAGAGTGACAGTCAACTTCAACATTCCCCTCATACACAGAGCTGGAAAAGGACACAGGCTATCCAGCTGGAAATGTCTCATCGCTCCAACAGCTTTCTAGAAATCTTTCCTTCTTGTTGCACAGGAACCTAACTGATATGGATCCACTCTTGATCAATATAGTCTAATTTTAGTGTGATCATCCACTGTCATGCAAACGGATACTCATATGCCGGCTGCTGGCTCTGTGCTTTTCAAGGGCACTAAAGCGGAACCGTGAAGGTCTTACGCATATTTAATGAATATCAAAATAAAACCCTTTAACCTTGAACTAGGCATGCATTATTTTTCCATTTTTCAAACCACGTTAGATTTGATATATGTAGGAGACAATGCTGACTACATCAAAAAAGG